GGCAGCGAGGCAGAGCCCGGGAGGTCTTCCCAGCTCCGGTTTGTGAATGCAGGCTCGTCCCTGGCGCTCCTTGTGAATGGGGGCAGCGTGGAGGATGGGAGGGAGGGAGGGATTTATTGCTGCCCGTTAGCATCTCTCTCTCCCTCTCTCTGCCGCTTGCCTTCCCGGAGCTGTAGCTCTTAATGCTTACCTAAGTGGCGTCATCCAGCTGAAATTGAATCGGCCCATTAGCAGTCCCCATAGAGCCCTGTGCATCCGCTCCCCAGATAATGACTGCAACAGAGCCGAGAGCAGCGCCGAGGCTGCAGGATGCAGGAGGCACTATTTAAACGTTTCCGTCTGCCTCGGGCTCTGCTCCCCCCCGTGCCCACCACCCGCGCTGCTTCCGCATCGCTGGCCCCACAGGTATAATCTGATCCCATTGGTGCAAATGGGTTCAGTTCGGTCTGTCACCGTGTGCAAGTTGTGTCAGAAGAGCATCGGATTTGGCCGCCAAGTCTAGGTCTAGTATCGACTATCAACCTGCCCTGTCACCTTGCACAAATCATTTAATCTCCCTGCTGTAAAATGGGCAGAGACACACCTTCTGCCATTTCACACCTCTGTCCAGCTTGCCTCTTCCTGGGAGATCTTAGGAAACGTCTGGATGTCATCTGCTTTTTATAATACCAAAAAGTCCAAACTAATCTGAAACTCTGGGGCTCCTGTAACAGATGCTTGGAGCAGAGAGGCTGGAAAGGGGCTCTGCACTTTTCTGTACCGAAATCACCAGACTGGCAATACACACACGGAGCTAATCCACACGCTCCCCATTCTGCCGGAAACCAGAAACTCAGGCTCAAGGCTGGAACAGCACCTAGACCATCCATCCCTCTAACATCTCCCGTGTCCCGTGCAACGCTAGAATCACTGTGCGCTCCCTCCTTGTGCTGCTTTCTCTAGGCAACAGCAGATCTGCTCCGGAGCACTGAGAACCCTTGTGATACTCCCTCGGCCTCATCTTAAACAAAGTGGAACCCAGATTAATAAGCCCAAAGACACATGACCTCTCTTTGCTGACACTGGATGTGTGCTATGGAGCCTGCGGGAGCTGCCAGCCTCACCTCACTCCTCCTCTCGATCCCTCCGGAGTTCGTCACCCATTCTTTCCTGCAGCATTTGCTGGATGATCAAAGCAACGTTATCAGCTTGGGGGAGGGTGGTGGTGGTGGGGGGGGAAGGCTGAGAGCCAGTCTCTGAGAAGTTAGACTGAAGCCACCAAGCCCTCAAACATCCCAGCCAAGCAGCTATCCACATGGGAACAGCTTGCAGCCACTTTCTCCCCAGGCTGGATTGGAAACGTGCTACGGAAAAGCTCCACAGAGCCTTGCCAATCTGCTGAGCCACCCATTCCCTCTTAAACAGACCCCATTTCGACTTTCCCTTTCTCCAGGCACTCCCCCCAGGGCAGGTTGCTGTCCGATGTCCAGGCTTTGCGTGGGCATTCGCATTCCTGTCATTCGCTGCCGATGTGGTGAGGACATAACGTGCCAGGGCAGTGCAGAGCATGGGGGTCTGGGTGCGTGAGGGCAGGCAGAAAAGGGAATAGAAGGAGCCCGAATAAGGGGGATGAAACCAGCTCTACTGCTTGCTGCCCTAACTGATAGGCATAAACCAGTTTGATCCCACTGACCTCAGGGGCTCCCTTCCGGTTCATGCCATCAGCAGATCTGGAGTCCTCTCCAGCAGTGAGCAGTGACTCTATTCCCTTCCCTCAGGCTATCAGCATGGAAGGAACAACCCCAGCTTCTAGCCAGCATTGTCCAGCTCAGCCTTTCTAAGCTCAATTTAGGTATTTCTACACCTTCAAGGGAACCCTCCAGAGATGTGCTCGAAGGGTTTTCTTCCAGAGGCACTAGCTCCTGGCAGCAGCCCTCAGCTTAGGATACAGCTCAGAGCCATCCAGCCTTAACTCTGCACCTCTCTGTGCTCTGATCAGCCCCTCCTCTTCTCCACCAAAATGCACATCGCTTTGAGCTGGGTTTTTTTAAAGGCACAGAAAGGAATTAGTTGCCCAGTTCCTAGCTGCTGCCAGCTGGCTATGAGCACCTGACTCCTAAAAGCACATGCGAGTCCTCCGTTTCTCTCAGCCAAAATCTATCACTCCCACCTTGAGGTACCGGTGATTCAGACTTCCCTCCGCTGGTTCACAGCATCTCTACTGCAGCCTGCTTTGCGCTCAGCTAAGGCTGCTTTACTCCTCGCGCTCCCGACGAGGGAGGGCCAAAAGGCATGAATGCACAGATACCGAGACAAGTGGGAGGGTGAGAAGAGAAGGGAGAATAGCAACCTCCTGGTGAGTTATTGACCGCAGCATCTCTGAAGAGGAAGGCTGGGAACCAGAATGAATTTGCAAAGCAGAAATGTTTAAAGACACTGTCAAAGGAAGGGTCTGGGACAGAGCCTCCAGCAGTTTTTATGATTTTTTTGCTACAGGAAAATGGATCTGGTCCCTCAACCCTGCAGCAACATCAATATGAGCCATACTGGAGGATGGTGTGAGACTCCTAAGATAATACCTCCCTTCTCTCCCCATACGTGGTTTCTGGTAGCGAGTGCCTGCCCCAGAACAAGGGGTTTGACATCCCTCCTGCAGTGCTATCCTGACAGCTCACACTGTCCCCAGTGTCGCTGCTATTTCTGTTAGTCCTCAGCCGCTACCTGTGACAACTAGCTCAAGTCTGATCACAGCTCCTGTTAACTGGCATTTTGGATTGGTTTTACTCCTCCTCTCACTTTGAATCTGCCACCTTTTAATCCCTGGAACACCCTTAGGGTCCTGTCCTAAGAGATGGGGACAGAGGCAGCTCCCAGGAGCCCCATTCTCTGCTCTGACTTTAGAGGCTTTCAGCATGTCGCCTCCCATGACAGCTGATGCCACCAAGGACCTGGACAATGAGACATATTTCTGTGAGAAGCACTTTTCTTGTTGCTAACACCAACTGAATGCGCTCTGAGAGTCTTAGTCACCTGTTGCAGATATCCACTCTGGGGGAGCCCTCATCCTCGTCATTCTCAGTAAATCACTCATAATTTCTCATTGTTTTCCCTTTCTACTTCTCCTGCAGATCCCCAACATCACAAAAAGGTGGGGAGTTAATTGTCTTCCTTCCCCTCCTCAAAAAAGTGTTTCCAGAGATATACACGCGCACGCACACACACACACACAAACGTTAACACAAACAAAATAGCTAAATCTGGAGCCTGAAGTACTTAGTTACAAATTTCCATTTTAAAATAACAAGGATAGCCTGGCGCTCTTTGCTAGACACGCTGTCCATCTACCTCCAAGTCTAACCATCTCTGATTCTGCCTTTGCAGACAGTCTAACAATTAACCACTGTGAATCAGTCCGGAAGCAGGCGGTGGAGAGGAGTATATCCCAGAGCAAGGCTGAAGATGTCTGATCTTTTCTGATGCTATTAGCCAAGTTCGGGCACAGGGGGAGGGAAAATTCATCTTCAGTTAAAGACGATGCAAGAGAAAAAAGGGGGATAAAGAGAACATATGATTCCCCTGATTAAATCAGCCAGAATCAATGAGGTGCTGGTGCCGTCTAATTTTTAGATTCACAGATTTTAGGGCCAGAAGGGACCATGATGTTCATCTAGCCTGACAGTCTGTATTATGTAAAAGCCACTTGAAGCCAGACAGTGCCACTAGCTTTTTAGAAGCAACAGCAAGCACTGGCGAAGTTATTAAAAGACTGTGATTCTCCTCGGGTGGAAGGCAAGTGTGGCCAGCTCCCACAAACACACGCTTTGGTAAAGAGCAGGCCAGGTACATCCACCCTAATGGGCACAAGCTGAACAGACAGCAGTTCTGGCGGAAAAAGAGACATAATTTCCCGTTTATATCATGCAGTTCCTTTGCCCCGCAAACAGGGATAAGCAAGCAGAAGAAAAGCCCTTTTTTGTGTATTTTCCTTTTGAACCTTCCCTAGCATCCCTGGAAAGAAAACACTGTGCAAGCATTCTGGCCCAGAGACCTCTCTTGGCTGCTTTACTGTAAAACCCCACTCTGCTAACATCGTTTGCATTGATGCAGTTTCATGGCAATTGGAGCTGACTGGCCATGAGAGCCAGATCCTGAGCTCCTTATTCAGCCTGCAACATGAAGGTGTAGTCATTGACTGCAATGTGAGTTTTTCTCTGAAGATGGAGCCAGGCAGCATAAAACATCAATAAAGAGCTCAGGATGTGTCCCTTTAATGAGCTGAGATTGTAACACACTGATGGAGTTTGCCAGAAGCTGCCCATTCTGTTAGGAGGAGTAGATCCTGCTGGAAAAGTGTTAAGTGGGTCCTGCTGACTCATTGATGCAGATGGCTCCATCCCCACGCGGATGGCGGCGAGGCAGGAGGTGCTGGCTCAGGGGAGAGCAGCTAGCGCAGGGGCTGAGCGAAGCAGACGGAGGAGCCCTGGCAGCACCCGAGCGGGGCTAAGCTGGGTACCCTGTGCATGTAAACACAGCCAGGGGCTGAATGCAAAAGGAGCTGTATTTTCCCCCTGCCCGTTTGGGTATATTAAGCACCTGGCCCAAAGCTTTGCCCAAAGCTCAAGGGTGTCCTGGTACTCTCCTGCATACAAGCATCAACAGGCTCCATGTGGGGGCTGTTCTTCTACAGAAAACGTATTTAGCGCTACAAGGTCCCCTACCAAAACTCACATTGCCTCCCAGCAGAGAAACCAAGGTGCGGAGCAAAGACATGACTTGAACAGCAAATGCCAAGCTAAATGTGCAGTGCAGAGACCCTCACCCCTAGACTCCTCAAACACCTAATCAGCC